TCAGGGTCACCAAAATGGGGCCAGTTTACTTTGGTGACTGCCTCAGGACTACGGTAAAGAGTGGTCATTTTTGAGTTTGATGAGGGGGAGAAAATGGAAGTTGCGAGGTGAATAACTGTGATGGTCCTTTGAAAAATGAAAGGTTTTATAAAGTGTAGGGAGATTATAGTGAACATAGATGAGATTTAGAGACATGTTCTGGAATAGAGAATTAAATTCATGAGGAGCGGCAAAAATTGCTTTAAGCAAATGGAGAAGGTGAAGGTATAGTGACACTACACATAGGTGTTGAGAGAAAAAGAGGAAAAGGAATGCACATGTGCAAATCAAAAAAAATAGTCATGATGCAGAAGTAATTGAACGGTAAAGGTAAAAGTGTAGAAGACAGGTCTCACGTTAATGGCAAATGAGAAAAGAACATGGTTATAGTCGATGATGTGTTAAGGGAACTGAAGTTTGGGAGACGGTAAAGGTAAATTACAAAATAATTGTGAATACGAGAAAGGGAGTATTTTAGCGAATGCAGGGGCTTTGCAAGAAATGAGAGAAATAGACAAAACGGGTATATACAATCGTGAATACGGAAAAGGGAATTGTAGCAGGATTGGGAGGAAGAACGAAGAAAGATAAGCAAGCTTGTGCATAAAAAATTGAAGACATAAAAGGGGGAGCACTTGAGGGAGGAGGGGAGCAAAACAAGGTCAGGAAGAGAATGAATGTCTCTTCCGTCATTGCTATTTGCAATACTTGTCTAGAACATTTTGAGTGTATTGATTGAGGTTTGTGGTTTAAGTTTAAACCTTTTAATCATGGTAGCAGACTATCAGACACCTCAACACCTGCATCATTTTAAGCAATCCATATTTTGCGCAATTTTTCTCTATCAAAACACTCCAACCCTCTACGATTCAAGTAATATATATATTCCAATCAAAAGCTGGCCCGATGGGTAGTCTTAAACACATCCTATGTGGTTTGATTGCACTTTGTTTTGTTTGTTCTGGGGAAGTGGCTGCAGTCTTGGATTGCCCGACACCCTGCAAGCCTTACGAGCTCCAAACCCCTCTACTTACGACTGATTGGACTGCGAACATAGGTTCATCGCCCTGGCCCGAATACCCTCGCCCGTTGCTCAGAAGACAAGAATGGATGAACCTTAACGGGCCATGGCAATTCAAACCAGCCAAGAACTCTCAAGAGCTCCTCAGTCCAACTTTTGGGGGATGCGCTTTTGCCACTCAAATCCTTGTTCCTTTCCCGATCGAAAGTGGGCTCAGTGGGATCATGGAAAATCACATATACAGCTGGTATCGTAGAACTTTTGTTGTCCCTGAGCACTGGTTGGGTCGCAATGTTTTGGTGAACTTTGGAGGGTGGATTATGAAGGTACATATAAATTGAAAGAAACACTTTCTGTAAAGGTTTTTTTTTAGAAATGGCTTGATCTGATCATCAGATCAACTATGTTGTCACTTGCGTTCACTTACCATTCAGGGTGGTAGCCGGGCGGGCCGACCCGAGGCTGACCCAAGACCCAATAGGATTTGGGTCGGGTTTGGGAAGATTTAGAGGGAAAATTCAATGACCCAAACCCAACCCGGAAAGGGACATAAGATCCATGGGTCGGGTTTGGGTAGGCTATTTGCTGGTCGGGCCGGCCCAGAAACCCAACTTGGACCCGAGTCGGCATGTAAATCACATATGTACCAGTCCGGCTTGGACTTATACACCTACTCACCTACCCTCAATCTTGATTCTCATCTCCATGTCCGACATGATTGATTGACTTGTTTCTATTTTTTATCTTTTTATCTCAAAAAAGGCCTATAGTTGAACTATATATACATGTCCATAGTGTTTTGATGATGAAAAAAATTAGCATGATAGTTTTCCACGGCATTTTTCTTTGACCAAATATGTCAGGTTGGCCCAGACCCGAACCCAAAACATCCCAAGAACGGGCTCGGATTCGGGCAGCAGATTCCTTTCTGTCCTGACCCAACCCGCCCCAAAGAGTTATGTTGGGTCGGATTTGGGCACGGTTTTTGGCCCGAACCCGGCCCACTTACACCCTGACTTACCATCCCTCCCAAACTATCATCTAGCAACGGTGTTTGTCAATTGAAAGACTGTTGGGTTCCACAGAGGAGGATACATATTTCAGATTTACATTGGATTTGACTGACGCGCTCAATGAGCCAGGTGAAGAGAACAAGTTGCTTGTGTTTGTCTACGACCCGACTAATTCCAAAGGCACATTGATTCCTAGTAAGCTTGATTTACTCATTTATGGAAACTACAGCCAGTTAATTCTCACATAGGTCTTCATTTTGAGCTGGCGCGTATACTTTGCTGAGTAATTGAGCCAACACTGACTTACAATTCTCTAAACAGTTGGCAAGCAAGTTTTGAAGCCAAATCACTATTTCTATACCCCTACCAGTGGGATTTGGCAAACGGTCTTTCTCAAACCAGTGGCCAAGGAATATATTCAAGACACCGTGACTACCGCTCATGCGGATGGGAGTGGTGAGTAATTTTATGTTGCAGTTCATTTTTTGCCGTTAGCTCGTCTCACACATCCAATCTTCTTTAGTCAAAATTAAGGTCATCACCTCAGACCACACTTCCAACTCAGAATTGAAGATCACTGTATACAATCCAATGATTTCTTCTTTGGATTCACCTCTCTACCCATGCCCTCTGGGTATCCCTCTCCATCAACACCAAGGAACTTCCAATAGTCTTGTTACTTTCAGCTTACCTTCCCCTCAGCTTTGGTCCCCCACCAAGCCAAATCTGTATCATTTTGAAGTAAAATTAGGGAAAGATACTGTTCAAAGTTATTTCGTTTTGCAGACGATAGAGAAGAAAAAGGACACTGAGGAAATCGTCAGACCTTTCTTAAATGGAGAATTTGTCTTTCAACTGGGCACACTGGATCAGGGTTTTTGGCCTGATGGTTAGCATCCTTGTGATTTGACAGGTTTACAGTGATTTAGAGACACTTCTCTTTCTTTCTTTTTTTTTCCACGACAGGTCTCTACACTGCTCCAACACATGAAGCTATGACCTACGATCTGAAAGTATTGTAGCATTTGGGATTTAATATGGTCAGAAAACATATCAAAGTTGAGCTGGATCTCTACTATTATGCCTGTGACCGAATGGGCTTGTTAGTATGGCAAGTGAGTGGATACTACCAAAATTCAGCCCTTTGCTCTGTCTGACGACTTTCACTTTCTGCTCTTGTACATATCTGATGTTCAGTCAAAGTGGTTGTATACATTTTGACATTTTGGTTACTGTGTTCCACAGGGGCTTTCCTGGGTCCTGTACATTCTCAACGGCCGAGAGAAATCCTCTCGCCATTGAGAGTGTACACCCTCACAAACTTAGCTAAGTCCCCCTTCGTCGCGAAGCGACCCTCCGAAGGAGGGACTTACGGGCAAAGCCGCCCCCGCGGCCCATGAGGATTAGACAATTGGCTGGTGAATATTTCAAAACTAATCTGGCCGACCCATTCCTGAACCTTTTTGGCAATGGTTTGGATTTTCGTGATGGTCTCACTCGTGCGCATCTCTCCATCATCTCCACTACCCTTCACACCTCATGGTTGGAGCTCAGTGGTTGGATGTTCATTTTATCAACTCTGGATTATGTGTTATGCCTATGCTTTGAGTCCAGCATCTTCCATTCGGGTGCCCTGTATCCAAAAAACTATGGCTCAAGCAGTTGATTTGAGTCGCTGTATCCTATGCAGCTGGTCTTGAGTGTCAGATACGGTGGGCTGTACAAAGTGAACACAAAGAATCGAACTGTCGGTTGCATTCATAAATGTTCAGCTGAGAAAGCAGCCAGTGGCCTCCCTCCATCACGGAGGCCACTGTGTGATTCTCCAGCATTTGCCGCTCATTTTGGCACGCCGCTTGTGGGACGACATGCGAGTGAGCGGCCTTGTAAAGAGCTTGCAAAAAAAAGCCACCTTTTCCTAATCCTCATGGGCGAGGAGGGTGACTTAGCACATAAGTCCCTCCTTCGGAGGGTCCCTGCGGGACGGCGTCCCCCCTCCGAATAAAGAGGGACTTAGTTAAGTTAGACACCCTCAACGGTTGAGAGCGACCGTTGAGGGTGTACACTCTCAACGGCCGAGAGGTATGCACTCTTGGCCGTTGAGAGTGTACACTCTCAGGCACGGTGTGAGAGTGTGCTCTCAATGGCCGGGAGGATTCCCTCCCGGCCGTTGGGGGCTGTTTTTGGCTTGACGACCCCCAAAACCCAGTGGGTTGTGGGGAATCGAATCCCTCCCCCTTCGGGGGTTTCAATTTTTTTTTATTTAAAATTGTTGGGGATCCGACTCCCAAACCTGCTTTGAGAGTGTACATTCTCAGGCACGGTGTGAGAGTGTGCTCTCAATGGCCGGGAGGATCCGGCCGTTGGGGGCTGTTTTTGGCTTGACGACCCCCAAAACCCAGTGGGTTGTGGGGAATCAACTCCCTCCCCCTTCGGGGGTTTCAATTTTTTTTATTTAAAATTGTTGGGGATCCGACTCCCAAACCTGCTGACAGGTTTGGGGGATCGACTCCCAAAATCGGGTCGACTCTCCAACTTTTGGGAGTCGATTAGCCAAGCCTCAAAAGAAAAGAGGCTGACATTCTGATTTCCAAGCAGTATGATCGCAGGATTCCCCGTCCGGATATCAAAAGATGGCAAAACCTCATTTCAGAAATCCATGCTATCCGGACCCACTCGCTGCCACATGTCGAGCCTCCTGAGCAACGCCCGCCACGTTCCCAATTAAGCTTCCCTAGCCATGAATTGATCAGGACTTGAGAATAAAGTATGTACTAGAGGTCTTCAACTTTTATCTCTGGCCTTCATACTCAGCCCAAAAGATCTTCTCTAATCAGCTTTGTTGAAACAAGTTGAGCATATCACATTGATTATATTCCAGCGAGAATGTGTTTTTTTATTTGTTTGTTTTTTGAAGAAGATCATAGTATGCAATTAAAATACTTAGAAAGACAAACAAGTGCACTTTCCAGAACATTTAGCATTAAAACTGGTGTGTGTGTAAATCACAATCCAGTTAGTTGGACTATGCACTGTGGCTCAATTTATAGCTAGTCACAATCCCGACATCCAGCACAAAAAAGAAGCCCGAAATGCATCGTGGGCTTGTTCTCATGCCCTGATCAAAAACACATGCATACACCAACAAGCAAGGCATGATTCTCAATCGCGTTTGAATCTCTAGTCTGGTATATATTAGACATTGATGTCCAGAGAAACTTTGTAAGTCTTTGTCTGTTGAGATAATTGTTTCTTGCCAAAACATATTATACAATTGGAGTGATTGAAATATATAGAGAATCGGAATGAAGTAAGTTGGTGGCCGGTTTGGAAATCAGATAGTAGGAACATGTGATCACGTTCGACTAGTTATTCCTCTTTTTCTTCTTTTTCTGATTGATATTACTAGGAGGTTCAACAGATGATTGATTTGTAGTAGTAGTAGTACTAGACTTTCGTTTAAGGACGCCCGAAGAAGAAGAAGAAGAAGCAGAAGGGTGCGTTGTGTTTTTATCCTTAGTCTTGGTTTTTGAGTCGTCGACTGATGAGCTTGGTGTAGGATGATGAGGAGAGCTTTCACGATCATTGAGGGTCTTCAAGGCAGCTTCAAAGTCTAGTCCCTTCATAAAACTTTTGACGTCGTTGACTAGTTGGGCCTATTGAAAGAACAAAAAGCCCATCATACGAATTTAGAAAGATATAATCGATTGTATGTGTGCCTGGATATGCAAGAAATAGAGCACTCACGTCGTCGACAACAACCTCCTCTTGTATCACGGCCTCCTTCCATGGCGCGCCCTCAAACAAATCCAGGTCGTCTTCGGTCCCGCCCAGATTCTTGATCTCAGCGAGCAAGATCTCATGATCATCACTGTCGTCCTGCTCCGAGTCTTCTTCTCCATTATCTTCTTCCTGATCATCAACGGATTCGTGTTTCGATTTCGATTTCGATTTTTGATGATCCTTCGAGGTATCATCTGGAGGTGGAGAGGCCAGCTTGGTCATCGGCCGTTTCGCTTGAGTTTCGTCTCGTTTGACCTCTGAAGAAGGCCTTTTCTGTTGCTTTTTATTCTTCCTTGACGAGGGTGATTTGTCTGGTTTCTGAACATCCGATGAGCGAGGCGATGTTTTCTGAGTATTAGAGCGACCAAGATCGGATGACGATCGATTCTTGGTGAGCGAAGAAGAACTAGACGGTCCGGCGCCGGGAGGAGCACGTTTGGACCCCGCGTTAGTTTTTGGGTTTGGTTTTTTGGGGGGCTGTATTTGTTGAAGTTTAGCTAGGATGGACTTTCCGAGATCGATGGATGAAGAAGACATCGCTGTCACTGTGAGCCGGATTGTGGAAGTTGTGAATCGTTGATGGGCATGGAATTGGCCACATAAAGTGAGTCCGCTGGTCTGGTAGGAGGGACCCTGCTGCGCATGGGCACTATGAATCACATATCTCCTCTGCTGTGCTATGCATGACACTGCTGTTCTGGGGGTATTCTTGGTTCTCTCAAAGAGGCACAGGCAAGCCTAAGCTCAACAATTGGAAGCAGACAACAGCAAGTCCACGTGTGTCATCCTTTACTTGATTCTTCTGCACACTTGTCATTGCATCTGCCATAGATAGTCATCTCACAACATCACATTCTTTTCAGTAACCATCATTCCTGTAAGTGCACTCCAAAGATCTTTGTACATAACTACCCAAAAAACAGATTTACTTTTGATTTTTTTATTTCTGTTCATGTATCAAGAAACTCAATATGAATATACACATCTCAAAAAAAAAAAAAAAAAGAAGAGAAAACAAGAATCATTTACTCGTATTGCGTATCTACATTCTCTACTAAGTTGTGAAGAAAGAAAAAAAAACAAGTATACTGTTATAATTTCAATATATACAATTGAAAAAGAAGAAGAAAAAGAGATGATCAATCAATTGATCCATGAGAATATGTATTATCTAATCTATCTAAGCCAAGAAAAAAAAAAACTTGTTTATTGTATCTGTTTTTTTTTGTTTGAATAAAAAAGGTGTATTTGTATTTTTTTGGGGGGGAGAGGGAGGGAGGGGAAAAAAAGAAAGAGAAAGAAAAAGAAACCCAACCAAAGTATATACCAGAAAAGTAAAGAGGAAAGAAGAACGACAAGGTTGATTTTTTTTTAATTTATAAAAAAAAGGCTAGAAAGTATGTATGTATGTATGTATATATATATATATTTTAGAGGAAGAGAGATCAGAACAAGAAGAAAAAAAAGGTTTTTGACTTATTCATTTTCTGATTGAGAGGGAAAGAAACAAAGAGAAGAACCAGGAGAGAAAGTAAAACAATCTAAGAAAAAAAAATGAATGAAAATCACTTTTTAAACAAGCTAGAACTTCCATTATGGTGATTAGAAGCAGAAGCAGAAGTAGAAGAGGAAGGGGCAGGAGGAGCCGGAGGATCTAAAGAGTGAGAATGATTACTAGGATTATGATGATGATTATTATTAGAAGAAGAATGATTAAGGTTAGAAGAAGAGGAAGAGGAAGAATTAGAAGAAGACGAGAAACTAGTAAGGGTATGATTACTATTTGATTTCTTGTTATGAGTATGAGGATTAGTCAAGATTGAAGAATGATTCCTGAGAGGAGACGTAGTTGTACTAGTAGTAGTAGTCGTCGGGGAGGAGGAAGAGGTAGGAGAAGAAGAGGGATCTAAGGGCGCAGGTTTGGTGGATTTCTTGTATGAACTAGGATGTTTGACGAGGGTGGTAGTCGAGAGGTGGCGGTCGATGATCGGACTCGGTTTACTATGCGAGGATGGGTTGTGGGGCGATGTCGAACTGGCTGGGGAGCCTGGATTGTGAGATGATGAGGCGGATGGAAGAGACGGGTGGATGGAGGGGTTGGTGGTCGAGGATGGGATCGAGAGGATCGGCTCGGATGTTCCATAGCCACTCGTCATCGTCGTCGTCCCTTCGTTATCTCGACTTTCATCTAACTGTTGGGCAGATAAAATCTCCAAAAATCGCTCGGTTCTTACAAATTTCGGTACTTGATCTGTGGCCATTAACCTACACAGTTACCAAAAAGAAAGCAAAATAGATCTTTAGATTGTGAACTTGAAGAAAAAAGAGAGAGAGAGAGAGGTAGAAGGGAAGACTTACCGGTATATGTGATCGGCGATTCGTTCGTAATGGCGTAGTAAGGCTTGGACTTGCGTCGCTCTAAGCGCCGGAACAGAGCCTTCAGAAGGGTCAGGAGAGTTAGGGGTACCTTTAGCTTCGTCGACCGCCCTAGACATATAGCTGATCACGTCGGCACGAAGGTTATGATCGATATTAAGTTCGGAGGGCGAGCCGGGAGCAAGGTAGGTATTGAAGATCAAGAGGGCAGTCGAGACCAGTTTTTCTTGGTGCTGTTCCATCGCTGTAGCAGCTGAAGAGGAGGATTTCTTCTTCGAGTTTTGTGCGGTGCCAATCCCTACTGCTGTTGATGAGGTCGCAAATCTACGTCGGAACTCTTGGACATCGATCCAATAGTGTAGGTTTTCTTCGCAGATATGTGAGCGAAGGAAGTCTCGGAAGAGTGAACGTAAAGCTGGTTCACCCAAGATGGCTTTCAGTCGGGCACTAGATGAGGTGGCGTCACGGACCCAGGCCGAGCCGTCACTGCTATCGGCATGTAGGATGTCTCTGAGTACCTGGCGGCCGTCGTTCTGGCCCTCCGCACCGGCGAGCGGGCCACTCATCGAGACGGTCTGATCGAGCGTCGGATGGTGAGGCTGGTGATGGTGGTGAGAGACGGATTGTAAGTCCTCCTCGGAGGTTCGGTTGGTCGCCCCACTAGCCAGCTTGTAGTGCGCCCGATCTGTCGAGCCATCGACCCCGCTCAACCGTCGACCTTCATCGGTGATCCGGTAAGTCACCTTGGCTCCATACTTGAACTGGCCCTCCAATGAGACCCCAGGGATTGTCGGTTCACTCGATGGCGCCCGGACCAGCACCTGTGCTACCTTATCCGCACCCTTGGACCGGTCGATGTGGACGGTTATCAGACCGTAGCGGACGAAGTGGGCTAGTAGCTCGGCAGCCTCCTCCCTTCCACAACATGTCGAGAAATCAACCAGCCAGTCGATGGCCGTGGTGGATGAAAAGACATGCTTGACTAGCAAGGTCGTCCCGCTGGCCGCTCTCTCGCGGACATCCTGCAGTTCAACCCCAAGACTGCGGTCGTAGTTGGGCGTCAAACGTGGGTTTTCAGTGAATGGACGGACGGCGGTATTGCGTTGGAGCTCGGAGGGGTCGCAAACGTAGTTGGGTGATCGACCTCCCGAGAAGCGCTTGAAGACGACATTGATCACGTTGGGAGTGATGTGGATCTCATCGTCGGCCGGACGCCGTTCAAGATGAAGTAGCTTCATGCAGATCGGTTGGGTGGTGAAGACTCTAACGAGATGGTCGGCATGGATTCCATTCTTGGTGATAAACCGTTCGAGGACATGAAGCCCTTTGGGTGTGATCTGATAGATCCCGCGTTCCTTGAAGGTCGGATTGAGTGGGTCGGCGGCATTCTCGATCAGTCGAGCGTCCATGAAGTGCTGACATATCCCCTTCGCAATGTCCCGATTCATCGAGAACGTTGTGGTTGTTGTAGTCGTGACAATCCGTGATGGGTCGTTAGGATCGGTTGAACGGTTAGATTGAGAGAATCTGAGTGAGGAGAGGTTGGCGGCCGCATCATCGGTAGTAAATGAGTTAGGATACGATCGAAAGAAACGGGTGTTGGTGGTCAGTTGGAGAGAGGCCACGAGGGTTGAGAATAGATCATGGGTATCCTAACGGTCATTGTGAGAAAGTAAACTGAGATTAGTATCCAAGATTATGATGTGTGGAAAGCGGATCATTCAAAAAGAAGCGAGGAAGATCCCTCGAAAAAAAAAAGGAAATAAGGAAAACCTAAATGAAAGAAGTGGAAGATGGGGATTGGCGTGAGAGCGAGTCTAATTTAGTCTATTTTGTTCTTCTTCTTCTTCTTCTTCCTAATATGTAGGACAAACTGATGACAGGTTGATGTGCTAGGATCATGATGTGTAAGACTGACGAGGAGCAGTGGCTGACCTTTACGAATGGATTACCCCTTTTGCCAGTCTTGAGGATATGAGAGGTGGACTGTTGACGTGTCCGAGGGTCTTGAGCGGTGGCGGACATGGTTATCTTACCTTATTGATGATAGAGAGAGAGAGAGAGAGAGAGAGAGAGAGCGAATGAGTGAGTAGTAAGTGATGAGAGGTGAAGAAGCGCTGTATGTAGACTAGTTTGAGGATGTGCTGTGTGTGCGTTAGTTATATGTTTTTTTTGAGGAACTAGATCGACTGATTGGTGAATCTCTGAGTTATGAAACCCCTGTTCTTCAGTTCCTTAGTAATTGCACGGTCGTAACATCTGGTGTCCGATTATCGAGTGTCTGTGTTAGGTAGTTCGGCGTCTCCGTTCGTTTGTCGTTAGTTTTCGTTCGTTCGTTCGCTCTTTGTTGTTGTTTTCTTCCTTCCCTTTTCTGGTTGATGGTGTGTTCTGGTTTGAATTGAAAGGAGGTGAAGAGTAAGTATGTTTGTTTTTTTCTTTCTTTGTTGTTTCTCTGGTTTTGATGGTAGGAAGACGGTCAACAGCAGCAGCCAACTGGTTTTTGAAAATGGATTCGGACGGAAAAGAGACTATGGGATTAGAAGATGGGTGGAGAAAACAAAGAAAAGACAAAAGCCGAAAAGCCATGTCAAAAACTCACTCTACATAAACACATATCGGACACGCACAAGCTCGTGCTGCTCCCACGTGCTGGTTGTCAGCCGTCATCTCATCCAACCACCATCAACTCCTTCAAATTTCATCACTCGGGAATCGGAATTCACTTCTCCAACTGTCCCGTGGATCGACTGCTTGACATCCATCAGAAACATTCTCAGTTCAACCATCTGCTGTGTATGTAATGTACTCGATTACAACATCATCTCCATTCAAACCTGCAAGCGAACAAAGGAGGCTGACAAAAGCTGAGAGTACATGTTACAAAGGAAGAACAATGTGGAGGGAAACAACAATACATATCCATACAATCAAAACTGTTACATGTTGGGCTAAGGGCACAATCTACTGAACTGCATGGGTCCTGAAGACATTGACCAATGCTTGAGGATGGGGCATGAAGGTCAGAACCCTAATTATAGTCTAACCACTTTTTTGGAACAAAATGTTCTTCAATGTTCATGGGCTAGGACCAACATCGTTGCTTTCAGAAAGCATCCCGTCCACAAAGCAAGAGTCCCCTAGCATCCTCATTTAGGCCCTGAAGATGGGATGGCAACATTGAACTGAAAGAACATCAGAGATTCTAATGGCTATCAACTCTCTCAAAAATAATTTGGCCTGGGACCACTTTCAGCCATTCAACACTCCAGCAAGATAAGACATTTTTATCACTGAGAATGGATCCTAGATCACACTCAGAGGTATTTAAGCTGACTACATGCACTAGAGTGGTGTTCAAGGCTTGATTGATGTGTTTGGACTGAAGAGAGGGTGAGATTGATGAGCAATGTATTGGTGGGAATTCTTATCTGATTCTACATGTTAGCAATCACATCTAATTACTTGGAAAATTTAAAGTGTCTGTTGAATCTTCTCTTTTTTTGCAAGTTGGTTCTTCACCAGTTATGAACATCAATTCTCACTAGCTGATGACAGGCCTTGACCTTGTGTAAACTTGGTCAACACTCTGCTATAAATCCAGCTGAATTTTAAAACAACTGTAATGACCCATTTGTGGGTTAACCAGGGGATGAGACCGAGTTATACTTGAGACAAATTGGTAGCTTGATGTGATCAGCAGGAGCAGCACTGGAGGACTAGTTCCCCTCAGGGTCTCCCAGAACCAATCTAGAGCCTCAAAAACCAAATTCCCCTGCAAGAATCTAGAGTTTTCAAGTCTAGATCAACTTCTGTGAGGGCTCCAGTTCGCACGGGAAGTCCTCCACTGAGCCCTTACAGTTCAATGTAACTGTAACATATTGTTAAGTAACAGGAATATTCATCAAGCTTGAAGAGCACCAACAACAACACTATGGGCTTGGAAAAAGCACTCAAGAACAGCCAAGACAGGCTTTCTTTTGATGTTATGTACATTCTGTATTTCATTGTAAACCATCAAAACTAAAGTTACTTCCCCGGGATATTTCCTTGGTAGAATATATAATGTAGTGATATGCAGTTAATAGTTGAAGAAATGATTTATAAAAACGATAACAAAGGTAATTTAACTAGTCAAATAGATTAGAGTTAGAGAGATGAGAGAAGGGAAAGGGAAAAGATGTAATGATATAAGCCCCAGTCACTGTATGAAAAGCTATTTGATATACAGTAAGGGACCAGGCTTGGTATGGATTGAATATCCATTTAATCTAGGGACTCATTGCTTTGATGATGCCCCCTATGATTCTTCCCCACTAAACTCACACCACAAACATTATGTGCTTTCCATGCATTTACATGATACATATAGCAGTTCAAAGTCATTAGTGGTTCCTCGTAGTCATATATATACCAATTTCACTTCTTTTGAAAATGTTTTTGAAGGAATTTTAAGAAGGGGCTTGGTTAAACGACTCCCAAAAAATGGAGAGCCTACTCCCAAGCCCTGGAATCCCCAAATTTTGGGAGTCAAACCCCCAAAACCTTTGACTGGTTTGGGAGTCAACTCTCCCAAAAATATTATTAAAAAAATAATAATCCCCTGGTTGGTTTAGGAGTCAATCCTCCAAGGACCAAAGCCGACCAGGGTTTGGGGGTTGACAAAACAAAAGACCCCCACAGAAGCAGCCGGGAGGATTCCTCCCGGCCCCTCAGATTACACACTGATGGCCAAGAGGAATCCTCTTGACCATCAAGAGTGTACACTCTCAATGACTGAGAGGTACACTCTTGGCCATCAAGATTTTGCTCTCAGAGGCCAAGGTGATTTCCTTTGGCCATCAAGAGTGTACACTCTTGAATTTGATGGCCGAGAGGATTCCACTTGGCTGTTGAGGGTATAGACTCTCAACAAATGAGGGAAACCACCTCTTCCGTCAAGGTTTACACCCTCTTGATGGCTGTGTACACTCCTGGAGGCTCAAAAGATCCCAAAAATCTTGAATTTTTTGGCTGTAAACTTGGACATCCAAAAAATACAGGGTAGGTTATGCCTTCAATAACTGCAAATAAAAATTATACTATTACCTTGGAATTTATGTTAAATTCATTGAGAGCAAGTCCATGTGATTTGCTATATTCTCACAATAGCAACTAGACTTCAAGGTTTGAATGCTCCAACTGCTGCTGCACAAACTGGGTGTTGTTGAATTAGAGTTTCTATTAGGAGATTAAACAGGGTAGTGATGTGTAGTGTATGGGTTTTATGGAGGCAACACAGAACCTCAAGCAGCCTGTGATCCTCCTTGTCCAGAGTTGCTATTAAGTCTTCAAGTTTGGAGACTGGATATACTAACAGATCAAGGATGAAAAATGAAAGACAATGTCACCAATGGCAAATCCAGTGGGTCACTATTTTGAGTTTTGGTTGCCAAATGTGGGATAGCTACCCAATTCAGCAACCCATATGGAGTTGCTATGACCTCAATGGAGCCTGATGTAACTAGTAGTTGACTATTTAGGTGTATTCCCAATTACTTACAGAATGAGTTGACTATTTTGGTGCACATATTTATAGATAATTGAATCTAATCTCAGTCACACAGTTCCTTGCCACCTGCCAGTCTATCAATTGACTGACTCATGGCTTCTCAATGGATGTTCCAAAACTTTCAGGTTACTCCAACTGAATTTTAGAACCCTTTCAAGCTTAACTAGACATGCACTGGAAGCAGCAGTAGCAAGCAGAAAAGCTGTCCACACCAGTGAGTCCTGTGCCCCAATTTGAAATTCCCGTGTGGAAAATTTGCATGATTTGGCTTGAAATCAGTGTTTGTGTGTATTTTCCTCTCTTAGTGCCCCCTCACCCACACCTATGTGAGTTCCTTGTGAGACAGGGTAGGCCTGCCTCTTGCACATATTTCTATCTGTTCATTTTTGTCCTTTGCTCTCAAATCTTTTATACCTATTTTTCAAAAGGTCAACTGGTGAACAAACCCGGCATTTAAGCTGAAAACAGGTCAAACCTTGATTTTATAAAAGGGATTGATACATCCACCTGGTTTTCTGCTTTTGAGTTTTTCCACTCCCACTTTTCTGCTTTTAACCCCTGTTTTTTACCACCTGCTTTGGTTAGTTTTTGGGGATTACAAAGGGGCTGAAAATTGTCTAAAATTGACCATTCTTTTTAGGTGTATCATGAATCCCCAAAATATCAACTTCAATTTTATTTTATCTTTCTTGTCCAGTTTTTTTTGAATCCTTTTTCCCCTCATGTTTTTTTCCCCCTCAGTACAGCTAAATTTGTCATTAGCATTGTCCAATTTTTCTTGCCATCTGCATATAGATGGTACCACATATTCAACCCACTCCTCAGTTTATTCATTTGGTATCTACTTAAAACCAATATTAAAAGTGAGATTGCCAAAAAAATGCATTTTGTGAAAGTAAGCTGCAGTAGGACTACCTCCTTGGCATCAAAAAGCAAAATTATGTGGGGTTTCAGTGTGTGCCAACTTCCATTGGAGGAATTCCTGTTGGCTTTACAGCCTCTGTAAAGCAAGAATTACAGGCTGTAAATCCAAATTTTTGCTGGGAAAACAGACTTACAGGTTGTAATTCTGGCTTTTCAGGCGCTGTAAAATCAATGGGAAGTCCTCCAATTTCTGCAAAAAGTGGGCTCCACAGTGCATCCTCAGGATCCAAGTGGGTTGGGTCGGCCCGCCGGGTACCCGTGACCCACCGGGTCACGGGGCGGGTTTGAGCAGGCTAGGGTTGGAAATTGAACGGACAGGTTGGCAGCGCGGGTATGATCAGGACGGATTGTATTTGGGTTGGCTTGAGATTGACCGACTGACCTGATTGAAAGGAATTAACTGATCATTTGCTGGGTTGACCTGGACCTGACCTGACCCAACCCGAGGCACCGTGTATTTGGGCCGGGTTTGGCCAACATTTTGCCATTTTTGCCCCAACCTGCCCCGCCCCGAGAATTTGGCGGGGCGGGTTTGGTCACCATTTTTTGACCCAAACCTGAGTGCATCCTGGGACAAACCAATGATGGGCTGCTACACTTTTTGCCCAAAAAGGGTTAGCATAGCAGTTATTTTTGCACACAGAAATCATGTAGTGTTAGCAAAAAGTTGGTGGTTTTTTGCTACCCTACCCTGCACACTTCAGGCCGCTGATGGCCGCTACAGGGGCAAAATGCCGGCATTAGAGCATCTGCATCGGTTTGGCTAGTTTTGCTTGCAGCTAAAATTTGAAATTAGCTGAGCTAAATTAGCGCAGCCCTTTCAACTGCACTGGTCTGAGCTAAACCGCTGAGCCATACTAGCTAGCTCGACAAACCATGCTCAACCGCACCAATAAGCGACGTAAGCTTCTGAAGGACTTGTTTGGATCAGACACCGAGGATGAAGAGGAACAAGAAACCGACTCTCTTGAAGAACTCGAATTCGAAAGCGATCAAGAAAAAGGCAATAAGCCTCGAGTTCGACGCCGGCCCAACAAAGAAAGAAGTCATATGCAAGGACACAAGAAGCTCATGGAAGACTATTTCAATGAAAATTCAACTTACGATGATCAGGATTTTGAGAGACGATTCCGACTCAGGAGGGAGCTCTTCCTCAAGATTGCCAGTGACGTGGAGCGCAGCATATTGGGCACTTTTTGGGGGCCTGCACTCGTAGTGTTAGCACTCAATGGAATTCTGCTCTGTTAAGCTACACTAACACTACAGTTAGCATAACTGGCCCAGGACCCAGGAAACCCCCTCTAGAGGTGGGTAACCAAAATGTATGAATTTGGAAAATCCCAAAATCATACGCACGAAAGTGGTATGAATCCACTCAAAAACCTGACATGGTACGCACAAAAATGGTTCAAAATGTATGAATTTTGGCTCAATCTTGAGGAAAGCCTGCCTAACTGACACATCCCCAAATTTTTGGGGGCAATTTTCTCTTCTCACTTTCTGGTGGATTTTCCTCTCAGCATACGCACAAAAGTGGTATGAATGGCTTCCAAAAATGTATGAATTTTTGCAAAATCCAGGATTTTTGGTTACCCACCTATATAGGGGGTTTCCTGGGTCATACAGTTCGGTCCTGGGGCGACTTTGGCGCAGGCATGGTGGCGTGGAGATCCATAAATAAGCAGACTTTCACAAGAGAATATGTATTACATATCCTTGGTTTTGTTTGCTTTTGCTTGGTTTTGACCAGTTTGTTGGCCATCCCATCGGAATGTTTTCCTCTTCCATGTTCCGTCTCGCTCTGCACAGCCATCAACCGAGAGTCCGACTCCGCCGACTACATAGCACATAGGCTTCCGAACCGGTGCCAGCTCCGAGCCAGATCCTAACCTACCATCGCGTTGCCCGAGACACTGTAATTTTACAGCTGGGAATGGTCGAACCAAGCAATGAACTGTCTGAACCTAATGACAGAGTCAAGGAGCAGCCGCTAGAGCTCAGATCCCAAGCAGGTATGATGAATCCCTTTTTCCATCAAAGTACCAATAAGACCATTAAACACGATCAATAACAGCTAACCGAGACCTCCAAAGATTTGGTCATCCAGGAGTTCGAACGAATGGAGGAGTACAATTTCGCCCCGCCGCCCGATACTCCTATTGATATCTCTATTGAACGATTGAAGTCGAAGAATGATCTCCTCAATCTTCTGGGCTCAAGTCTTCTACCTCAACTCCAACATCAATGCGCCAGGCTGTCTGAATTGTTGTGGGAGCCATCCCACATGCAGAACAATCCGGCCTCAACGCTCAAGCTCATTTCAGAGATCCAAGCCAGGCTTCATCTGATTTTGAGCCAAATCATCCAGACGCGCGATCAAATCTTTCCTGGAAAAATCTCCGAACCTTATCAGACAAATGACCAACGCTTCGATCAATTCAAAATCTATAGACTCCACAGGCTTGATGCTTCTCTCAGAGCAGACATGAAAATTCGGCTCAGAATTTTGTTTCAAGATTCTATCAAACATATTCAAAATTTCAAGCGCTCAACAACAGACAGAAGTAACATAATCGAGCTGACTTACTTGAAAATCGACGAGAAGATTGACTTAGCCATCAGCTTTATCAAAGGATCCGAATTGCGTTTGATATGGGAGCTTTGGAAAGATGGGATCAACAAGTTGAATTACGAAGTGGAAGCACTAGTACGTCAGATGGATCCGATCAACGCCTTACATCAAGAGGGCGAAAGTCCCTTGAGTCAACCAGCTATCAAACTCGGTCGATCAATCCTCCCAATCTTCAAATTATCCAGACTTTGTTTCAAGAAATTATATCGGGCAAATGTCAAGATGGAGGAAGTAGAATTATTCACAGAGATGTGCTCTCATCAATTAGTTTGCTTGCACGCAACCACCGACAACATCGTTGAATCGATTTCAAATTTATCATTTTCCATACAAGATGCTGATCGACTCGAGCCTGGTGAAACTACTTTGGCCATATTCGAAGAACTCGACAAACTCATCAAATCATTCCAATCTTATTTCTCCCTTATTTCTCTCTATGTTCTCCCTAATATGTTCCCAAACCCCATCGATTTCTCTCATCAGATTTACTTCCAAAATTGGATTGTTGCTTGGACTACTTCCTTTCTTTTAGCTACTCATAACGCTATCCAAGCTGTTCAATTATTTGCAGATACTTGATTTTTTCTGTTTATTTTGTTTCAAATATATATAAAAATACATTTCTGCAGTCATTTTTTAATGTTGTGCTCATCACTGATGCAAGACTACATGAATTTGTAATATGTAGAGAGATCGACTTTTGTATCCTACCAACAAACAAAATCCAACCTTGTTGAGTATGAAAACAACCATGCTAAGATTAACTACTCTGACACCCTGGCCTAAGTGGTAGTTGGGCAGACTGTGTATGAAGGGTTTGACATCCTGATGGGTTAGGATCAGGCTGTCCACGAAATTCATTTGTGCCGTGCAAGAGTATGGTAAAAGATCGCTGACATGGATATGATGAAAATAAGTTAGAGCATGATAATTTATCGCAGATAAAAATGTGATGAAAATTATAAATTAGAGCTGATACAATCACACAATTATTTCCTTTGTTGCGTATGTGGTAATGAGGTCTCGAAAGATTTAGATAAATATAGAGAGATAGCGAGTCCCAATATGAGAGAAATTCTGCCTGCTGGTAAAAGAGGATCATCCATGGAAGAATGAGTGATTAGGAAGTTGACTCTCTGCAGCTGACCAGAGGCTACCACTTGAGTCATAGGTGCGATAAACTTGAGGAAGTTCCAGCTCAGTCCGTCGCTGGCTGGTCATGTTTGCCAAGCTTCTTCCGTTGGCGGTCATATCCCCCGTCCTGGACAGATCATAGTCTTCGCCTTTTTCCTGATGGACCGGCGCATTCGTTAGTTGCTTAGGTATTTCAATCTCGTAGCCCGCCGTCCAGGTGGTAAGAGATTTGATCGGGCCAACATAGTGTGAGTTTCCGTATATAAACCAGAAAAACAGGGAAATTACGATAGTGATGAGCAGGAAGAATGGTGCGTATGGGAAGTTTTCTGGGATGCAACAAAAATGTCAACTTTTTTTGTCTACATTTAGTTTTTTTTTTGGTTTTTTGAAAAAAGATGAATCAAATATTTACTGTGATCAAGCGGCCATCCAGACGGCCCGCTTAAGGTGACTAATATTAAAGTGAAAAACAAGATCGATACCCATGCCACTGGTTTGCTGAGACGCCCCAACGTCCATGCGTTGCTACCGTCCCGATCATAGACATCATTCGGCGAGAAAGCATATAGAACCAACGGCGTCAAGTGGCAGAACTGTGATTGTACGCATTGTTAGTCACGATGATGGACGCGAGATTTGAGGTTGTTTTGGGAGCTGACCAGAACCAAATGAGCACTAGATACACCGAAGATAGCAATCGACTTGCCGGTTGGATCCAAGGCGACCAAGCTGAAAAGCATGCTTATTCCGATCATCAGGAAGGTCGCCCGCAGAGGTCTCCGGTCAGAAGTCACCTTCCTCCACGTCTTGCCCAGAGGTATCGCCTTGTCACGCGCCAAAGCCCAGAAAAAACGACTCGTGGCGAAAAACTGAGAGACATTTGCAAGAAAAGAGTTCAATACAATGCTGATCGCAATAAACTGGGCCACCGGTTTGGGGCAGTGCGCGAAGAGGGTATCGATGATCCCAAAACCAGTCGATTTGTGTCGTATGGGTGTGATGGCCTGTTGATCAATTAAAAAAAAAAGGGTAAGATTCTCGTATTACGAGCTGAATGAAACATTTTATCCCACCTACCATTCCAACACAAATGCAGCACAGGAGTTGCATGAACCCGACGAATATAGAGCTGAAGAACATTGCTCTTGGGGCAGCTTTCTGTGCGTTTTTAGTTTCTTCTGACATGTGTGCAATAGTCTCCGTGACAGAACCAGTCGGGACAAGTGTCACGCTGCTCCAGCCGTTCAGAAGAGCCCATCCCCTGCTCTTGAAGTTGTATTTCCTCTTGGTACCGGCGAAAATACTGGCCAGACTTCTCTGCTTCTGGGAAGTAGTGACCAGCGCAATGCAGACCGATACCTGAAGCATGGCGACCAAGACTCCAGCGCTCTTCCAGAATAGGGGTGAACGTGAAAAACCGGTGCATGATAACAAGCCAGTCACGCAGATAAAACCTAGGACAAGCATAGCCTTCACATGTGGAGTGACGATCCAATCGACTCCTGAGGCTGTAATGCCCGTCACGAAGACTCTCGCTTTGGATTTCGGGGAGGAATCAGTAACATTAGTTGACCCAAGCAGCCCATTTTGCGGACAAGCTGAAACTTCCGCCGTACTTACTAAACTCCATCCCAATCTGAAATTGGAGCACTACATGCGACGTAGTGAGTAAGAATCCAACAACCCAACTGATGATTCTAGCCCAATCACGTAGACGAGGATTGGCCCTAGCCAGCTTGAAGGTCCCTAGTGGATCATGGACAGGCAAGTCTGCTTCAGATGAGACATCCAGTGCTCCCAAAATGCGAGTGACAGAAATTGCTTACAAGAAAACATGGCACCAGCAATGGGAAAGGCCGAGGCCATCTCTGCAAAAGCCGCATTGACGCAAGTCATCAAGGTCGTAGTGATCAACATGCCGAGAGTGAACATTATGGGCTCAGCAACCGCGTAAGACATCGAAACCGATCCAAAGGCGCCTTGTAGGATTGTGGCGTTACAAAAAGCAAGTGCAAATAGCGACCAGAAATCCCAAGTGCGGTGGAGCTCCTGTCTGTAGCCTAGATATTCCAATGATGCTTGGCTGTTTGGGTCAGGGTGAACTCGGGTTTGGTTTCCTTGTGATGACTCAGATTTTTTCGTCGAACGGCTGAGATAGCGGGTCCAAGGTGCGCGCCAGTTGCTTGATACGATTGATGGGGAGGAAACCTGGGTGGTCAGAAAAGTGGGTTGTGTGTTTGAACATACAGTTGGTCCATGATCTGAGTTCTGAGAGTGCTTTGGAGCTTGGGCGCCATCAATGTCAACAACAGGTAAGGACAGTTCAACACAAGGAAGACCAGGTGTTTTCTTGCCCCTAAAAAAAGAAGGAAATCTCTTACTGCTTGGGGAAGGCGTTTCTGTCTTTTCATGGTGATTTTCGAGCGTGGTCGGTGAAGACAGGTCAGATATTGCCATTGTTTCCGACATTGTGCACTCATTACCTCGATAGTCAAGATGCCCGCCAGGATCACCGGTTGACACGCGATGATGACCAGTAAGCCGAGAAAACATCGTGAACAGTTGAAAGTTTTTAGACCGAAGACGAGGAGACTACGAACTCGAAAGAATCAGGATGGGGCCAAAGGCGTACGGACTGACTTGCTCTTCATGTATGTATCTGACATGCAGGACTCTTTTGAAGGCTTCATCTGCCTTGCAAAGTGGAAGAAATCATGACACAGAAACTTGCCAGCCCACCGCAATGCCACAGTTCGCCATACATACCAATTGCAAGGTTTAATAAATGCTGTACATATAAGTAGCTGACCAGCTCACCAAAGATATCTCGGATGTCTGTACTGTTCAGTATTTTGGCACATACACATCCTCACATTTGTACAGGTACATTATGCATTAACAATACATCTGACTTCAATGAGGCCAGATGAAGGTTGAGTCTTCCGAGGAGGGACGCTGTCCCGCAACCCTGCCAGGCCCAGAGCCTATGTACCGGCCCTCGGAGAGGTCCTACGGGACGGCGTCCCCCTCGGAGCAAGAGCGACTGCACCATCCAATGTCCGATAAGATATAGTCAAAAATTCATCGCAACTTATCTGGGTTAATGTAGAAAAATCAAAGACCAATGTTGGGAATCACTTGGGATGATGTGGGTTTACATACCGAAAAAAATGCGGAAATTACAACAACGAAACAAATATGAACTACCGATATGTACACACACAGATTTCGATGTATTTTATGTAGGGTCAGAAAGAGAAGCAGGCGATCAACCAGTAAGGAAGATCCTAGAAGCGGGAGTCGGACTGTCTTCGACTTCCCGTTGGAAGAAGTGAAGAGGCCTGAGTTTCGACCCAGTTCTGATCTCCCTAATCGCCACATCAAGTCCACCTTTCCCTACCCCCGATCTAACCACGCTACCAGTACCACCACGCGTATGTCGTCTGCTTTGGGTACCTCCAGTGATTCGTCCTTGGCCGATCGGAGTACTGGGCAGTTTATCGCTCGAGAAAATCGTCTGTGTTCCCCCAGCCTCAGGCTATAGAGGAAGAACAGGAAAATGATATGAAGATTTTTACTTAGCTTGGAACCTCCGTACATTTTTTCCATGAAGATAATTAAACCACGCATTTAGATCTGAATAACCCACCTCTACTTGGCCATTCAATTCGTTGCCTTGTCCAACTTCAAAAGAATTTTCCAGAGAATAATCCCCCTCTTGGAATTCATCAAAACCTAATTCCGCGGTTGTGTGCTGATAATATCGACCAATATTGATATCAAGCACATGAGTCCTTCGTTAGATCATTCTCCTACTCTCGAGAAACGGGACAAACCTCAAACTCCGACTTGAATCTGGTTAATGTCCCAAATAAGAGTTCAGGTTTAAGACGATTGCTTTCTTGTCCAAAATATCTGACCAGCTCTTCCATTTCCCGTTGCAGATCTGTCATCTGGTTTTGAGTCGACTTCATCAGCACTTCTGCTTGCCGTAAAAATATCTGTTTTGTTTACGAGCCACGAACCAAAGCCATCAGTCCATCGGTAGGCGATCAGGTGAAGTTTTCTTAGAGTATAAACATTCAATGACATACTTCCATCCTGGACACAAACTGATCTTGTTTGTCCGCCGTACTGCTGATCGATCGTACCTGCATCACTTCCTCCTTTACTTGATCCATCCCATTAAACAAAGTCTTAACGGAATTCGTGACATCTGGTATCGAAACTGACGACTATCCAAACCATCAGACCAGCAACATTACGGGAATAAGCGCTTCAAATTTCATATAACTTGCCTCGTGAAGCGGCCTCCAAATGTGACAATTCATCGTTCAAGTTCAACAAGCTGGGTGAATTCGTCTGTATCTCTTGAACCAAGTATTCCAAAAGGTTGACGCTGGATTTACCGGCGCTTTTGTTCGATTTTGTTTCCTTAAGCTTTTTTTTTGAGACAAAAATTGTTAATTGTTCACATTTTCATTTATGACCATTCAGAATCAAATGAAAACGCATGGAGTTTTTTCACCTTTAGTAGAGCACTGATTTCGAAAGCCATAGCTTTGCCCCTGTATGTATTAGAGTTCAATACATTCCCGATTTCTAAAACATACTTGAAGGGATAAATTAAGACAAATATGCATAAGAAAGGGAGTTGGTCGATGACGAGTATTGATTATTAACCCACCAAGAGAAGTTTCTTCAATTTTTTAGACTTGTGAACCTCGCTAGTAGCCACTTGTAAAACTTTCATTTCTGGATCAAGTTCTTCGATTTCATTCTCAAACCTTCGTCGATAGATCATGCTACAAAGTCGACTCTGGAGACGTGGAACATCCTTTATCTGCAAAAAAAGAGCAAACTCATCAGACAATTCCGAGTTGATTTGAAAATGGATCAAGGCTTACACTAAAAAAGTATTTGTCAGAGCTTGCCAGTTGACTGAGATCCCCCGTGAAGGAATTCATTGCTTTAATCTGATCAACAACACCGGGGCAAAGTAAATGGGTGGATAATGTTTATTCAATCAAAGTTTAAGGGAATAAGGAAGAAAGAAAGCTCACTTCTTCAGGGGTTGGTGAAAATAACCTGAGAGCCTTGAGTGTTTCAAGAGAAAGAAAGTCATCTTCCAATGAAAGGATGGCCTGTCTAATTTCTGAATTGGGGCGTTTCAAGCTAGCCAATAAAATTGCTAAAATTCCCCACTCATCAATAACAGAAGAGAGACTTTTGATAAGTGGAAAGTTGGACGAGAGTGATCGTTGATATCCAAGCAGAAACAAAAACTTCTGTTTCACCTATATGATTTGCTCTATTGATCTCCAAAAGAGTCGTGATTTTCCCATTGTTCAAGTCGCTTTTTTCTTTATTTTTCGTATCCGAGCCGGAAGGTTCGACCGCAAAATCTGCATATAATTTTTTCAAATCGATTCGAGCCGGGTCGATTCCAGATGGATTCCAAGCTGTTTTCTCGTGTGGGATATGGATTTTGTTCCAGAAGAAAGGCTATGAGGAAGAAAAGGGTCAAATGGATCAACACATCACTCCTCTCATACCAGCAAAATTTATTTCTCAATGTCCCCATAAAACAGCGAATTCACCTTCAGTTTCAACGGCCGTGGGTTGAGAGAGTTCTTCTTCTTTTCTTCTAATGCTTGCGCCATACTGAATGTTCTATGATTCATAGAAGTAACGGAATCTATGGTGACGCTGGTCATCGAATTGCTATACAGAGATCTGTTTGTCAACGGTTTAGAAACTTGGGAAGGAAGGGCTGGGCAGGAAGGTAAAGATGTGAATGATGGGGGCGGGGGGGGAGGAGGCGGAGGTGGGGGCGGAGGAGCAGGGGCTGATGTCGAAAACGTTGCTTTAACAAGGAGTGGAGGTTCTGGAGGATGCGGAGGTGCTAATATTGTCGAAGATGTGCTTGGGGAGAATTTCGGGGGGATGTTTAATGGTGGAGGTGGTGGTGGCGGCGGCGGAGCATGTTGCTTTTTGAAGTCCATTTCCGTTGTGATTCTACCTCACGTCCACCATCAGAAGAGAGCAGAGTCGGTAAGGACAGATTGAGAGATGAAAATGAAAATAGAAAGCGCAGGTTCTTACTTTGTGTGAATTTGTGTTCCATTTTGCTGAATTTCACCACAAAAAAGGAGGACGTCGGCTTGAGCAATCCCTCAAAACTAGATGGACTGCAAGCATACCTTTTTTCCTTGATCGCCATGATCAGCTTGCTTCAGCCGAAAAACAATATATTTTGTTTTCGGATTCCACAAGAAAAGGTCACATTGGTTACGGAATATGAACTTTATAGGTGAAAGTCTCAAGAAAAACAAAAACTCACGGATTTTATAGCTGCACCATCCGTCCACGCTGGTGGTTTTTTAAAGGTATGACTCCCGATCCTTGATTTCTACTCATGAAGTTGTCATTAATTCAATTCAACAGTGATCAACACCAAATTCTTTCTACCTGTTTAAGTAAGTTTTTCAAGGCATCTGGAGGGTTGACATGTAGTGAGTCATCAATACAGGACCATCGTTCCAGTTCCGACTTTTGGGAGGGTTCCAACTGATTGATAAGACGCATCAGACTCCTAATCGAACCGTGTGACCAATCAAGACTGGATTCTGGCAAGACAGGAGGAAGTTTGGGCCTTCACGAACGGGAGAAGATAAATAACAGGTGTTCAATCTCATCCGAACTCTTTGTTATGGCCGAGTCTTATGTATGTTAGTTATACACGAACTTGTGATTAGATAGGGGTGAGTCAGGACCACCCAAGTTTGCATTTCCAAGCTTCGACTTGAGCCACAAAAGCAGCTGGGGGATTGTTTCCACTCAGCCGCTAAGAATCACATTCGCGGGTGATGAAAGATGTATATTTTGATCAGCTCCCATCAATTGCACGTGAAGCGTCGCGTCAGGAGACATACAAATATAGCATCATTGATGTCCGCCTTGACGAGTAAACCATACCAGTAAAGCCCGCCTGTGCCGATCGAATTACAGAGTCCCAAGGCGCGACAGCGATAATCCCAGACCAAGCTCAAGTCTTCGGAATCAGCTTCTACGGCGCGAAGCGGGTCAGAAGTCCTGGATTGACACTCGATTTCATCCGTCCTCTCGGCTCCAAGGCTATTTATCAAGCCTTGGAACGCATGTTCCGGATTTGATGCGAGGCTCAGGAATCCCTCAACGACAATCGCACGACCGTGTTCCAGGGACAAGGAACATATCGCGCTCAAGATTTCGGCCGCGTGGATCTTGGCTTTATAGGAAGGCCAGGGAGCGAAAGATGAAAAGGCTAGCCACCGAATCAGACCTTTCAGCTCCAAAACATGTTCAAAACCAAGCTTCGAGAAGGAAGGCAAGAATATTGAATGACAATACTCAGCAATCAGCTACTTTTTCACAGTTTTCTAGGCCTGCAAACTCACATCCGCATTCATTATGACCTTCAAACATTTCATCAATTCTAGTTGGATCAGCCCATTCAGTTCTTCCGTCCCAAATGGACTTCGGCTATATGGCTCGTCCTTATTGAACATCTGAGGGGATCCATTCTGGTTAATCACATTCTCCAGAGCTTGTAAACCCTCGTGATGCAGTATAAAATCCTCGAGCCACCGAAGCGATTCAGTTGACAGCTTCAACCGCAACTTGACTAAGATTTTGGAGGTTAACTTCGAATGACTGTTATTTCCACGATCAACAAGACAATCAGCACGCGCCTATGTAAGCGATTGAAAGAAGAACTAGAAGAAGCTTACGGTTCCTTTCTTAGTTCACTTGCTAGGTCTTCAGGGGAAAGGCCCTGTTCATAGATAGATTTTGTGCTCGTTGGCGAAGGACCGGCATCGGGAATCCCGTTACGATGGTCGTTTCTTCTTAACCAGCTCGTGGAGTGCTCATCGATTACCTGTTTGCTAAGGTGTGATACCCCAGGAGGAAATTGTTGTGAGCGCAAGGGAGGAAGAGAGAAGGGGGCTATGAATTGTGGTGGGGTTGAATGATTGAAGACATCAGAGGAAGACTGCGCCATCGGCTTTCTCTGAGATGCCATTCTGCTATAGAAATGGGGATGGGGGAGTGAAGGGGAGGTTAGGTTGATGGGTGCAGTTCAAGCACAAGTCCATTCCCACCAAAGACGATCGGAATTGGCTCAACTCCAAGACGCATATAATGATGAAAGAGCAGCCCATGCTCAACCGTCAGGGCATGAATAGCACGATCGGGACCTGAAACAGGATAATCATTCGTTATATGCTCGAGTTGTCACCAAAACTAGATGTGTAACCAGATTTCGATTGTCCTTGTTGAGTCTATCTGACTAATTTCTTGGCATTCCTGCCCAAATTTCTTGCAGTTGGAGTTCATGAGACTACGGCTTGACAACATCCCAAACCGACTTTTCCCAACTATACAAAGGAAGGCTTGGACAGGGTAAAAAAGAGAAGGCCGAATTTGTAGCGTCAATTGTGAAAACTTCTACAATTGTTGAGGGTGCTTTGAACATATTTATTTATGTGTAATGCATAACCAACCACCATGACATATCGCGGAAAGCGTGAAACGTGAATATAATGAAACTTGCAAAATAATTGACTGAACTCTTGTTACTTAAGTATAACAGCTCTGCATCTGTGTGAGCAAATCACCCTACCTTATGAGGTCAATAGCACAAGAGCAATCATCCTTAACTTAAGACCGGTTTCGCAGGACCTGACAGGTTCAGGGTACCTGAGAAGCGAATATGTATCTACAATTGTGTGAGCATATTGACAGGAGGACTGATATTAATGAACTGGCATATGTTTCGGGTGGGACGATAAAGCTATTAAGATTGATCGGGTTTAAGTTATCTATATTCGCACAACAAATCGACAAGGCCCAGTCGGACCAAGGTGATAGTAATAAAGATGCCGGCCAGAAGGCTAATCCGCAAAGATGGCCTATATAAGAAAAACCAGGAGCGGCGGGAGCAGGAACGGGGAATTGCGATTGGTTTTAACAAAGTCCCATCATCACGATTCTTATCATCTAAAAGAGAAGAAAAACATGCCTGGAAATTCTCCATTGTTTGAGCTTGACCGGCTTTCGAGTCCTTACTTCCCCCTAGAGCGTCATTGATGATGGCTCTCTTCTTCTTCTGGATGGACAACATTCGATCTTCTATGCTGTTGCTGACTAAGAACCGCACAACGTACGTCGGTTTTTGTTGTCCAAATCTGTGGATTCGGCTGGATTCACATTGGCAATGACGAAACAGATTCGATATAATCAGCACACACACTTTGTTGGTGAAAGGTTTTCTTATATTGTCCCTCAAGAGAAGAAAGAATCAAGTTAACCACTTACTCAATCGCCTGATCTATAACAAGGGAAATGCGCGGGGAGATAAGCGGGAGGGTAGAGAAAAAAGTGAGCAATGAGTTGATGTGGCTAATCTGGTCGATGTCTAGAGTCCAATCTGAGGCTTACTTTCAATGGCTTCATTCCACCAAGTATCCATCATGTACACTCGATTGGCTTTGATCAAATTTAATCCAACACCAGCCACTTTCAAGGAGCAGACTAAGATACAAGGCTTTCTGGGATCGTTGAAAGTTTCCAAAGCTTTCTTCCGTTTACGGGTTGACAAGGTCCCGTCAAGTCTCACGAATCTGAAGAAGAAAAAATATTCAACTTATTGAGTATTGGGGTCGACAAGTTTCCAACAGAGCCCGCGAAGGTTTAGTTACCTGAATCTATCACGTTTCAAAACTTGTTCAATCAAGTCCAGAAATCCGGTAAATTGGCTAAACACAACCGCCGAAAATCCAGGATCTGTTTGTCGTGCCTTGATCAAGTGATCGATCAAAGCTTCCAATTTAGTCGAAGAGACGAAATCATTTCGTTTCAAGTACCCACCCCCGAGTTCATCATCGTCGTCATCACTGAGCGACTTGGGGATATTTTCGATAGGCAGTTCGTAATCAAGATCGATCACACCACGCGAGGGTTTTGAATCCAGCTGAGACTTCACCGTCGGTTTGGTGTCCATTTCCGGGGCTTCATCTTCACTCATCACGGCGCTAGATGGCCCTCCCGGGGTGCTGAGCCCCGAGGAAGGATTTGACGAGTTTTTGAACCGGTTCATAACAAACTCGACAATTCCTGTCTCCTGAAAAGCTACTGCGCATGTAGGACAAGTGGTCTACAAAAGCCATTTCCGTTTAGAATCAAATCGGTCCGTTGAACTTGTAGACGAAATATTTTTTTCCCCATAAGACTCACCTCTTCCCCAGCTTTGCTTTCGATATAGGTCATGATACACTCCTTGCAAAATGCGTGCATGCAAGGCAAATAGACTCGAGAATCCATGACCTAATCCATCAAGCAAGTCAGCAACCCAGAAGATAATCTAGAGAATTGGAAAACATTATTTACATCTAAGCACATCACGCACTCCTGGTCTTCGACTTCTCCATCGGCATTCTTGCCTTTAAGCTTTTTCTCCAACTCTTTCAATTGGGTTGTAGCAAAGGATTCATCGGCCGAATTTTCATATTCTTTCAGCATCTTCTTGATCGTTTTGGCATCACCATCTGCCTGAGAATTTGGCAGCTTAATCTTTTTCAAGACGAGCGAAGGATGCAAGACCGCTTGACGGAGTCGGACCAAAATCGCCAAGATAGCCGTCACATGGCTCATAACAGTTCCTTGGCCCAAATATTCCATGTACTCAGATTTCGCGTTGTTGTACACCATATCATAGATAATTCGCTCTTTCCGATTAAGCTCCAGATAGGCGAGATCTATGTGTTTGGGTGGTAAAGATACGATCGGCTCTCCGTTCAAATCTTTCATCTTCTTCTCTCTTCTCAGCAAAACACTTTCGATGATCGTTTGTACGACAACCAAAGCCTGTAAGCCATTCAAAATGATCAGCTCGTTACGCAAACTGCCTGTGATGTAATCATGATATAATACCTTGGGATCTTTTTTGCTAAAAGGGATAGTGACGAAGGATCGATAGAAGGAGAAATTGCCCCAAGGCTCCAGCTGATAAAATAAACGAAAACCCCATCAGGTTTTGATTTATAGATATGTGCCATTGAAACTCACTCGGATAAAATGCAGTAAGGAAGAGAGATCCTCAAGTCTATTCACAATGGGTGTTCCGGAGAGCACCCATCGCCTACGGCCTGATAAGTTGTAACAAGCCTTGGAGGATTGAGCGTTCCGGTTCTTAATGTTGTGTCCCTCGTCCAATATTATCCGATACCAATCGACTTTAATTCGAGGATTTTAGTTCTTTCGCAATAGATCAATGTGTTCGGGGGTCAAGGGCAGTTGTTCATTACTAACTTTTGTACAGGCCATTGAGCTTTGGGGCGTCACCAGACTTCGACTCGATCGTCCCCCACTCGCTCGCGACGATGTTATATCTACAAGGAATCGATTTCAGTTACTCGTAATATCCACAAATACAGACCAAGTGGACCCGCAGCTTGCAACATGGCAAACTTACGTTGTTATGACCACATCATATTTATCAGCTGAACTGCCCAATGCAGCTTTTGTAGCTGAGTGGTAAACGAACACTTTCAGAGCTTTGTGACATCTCTCCAGCTCGTCTTTCCACTGATCAAGCAACGTCAGAGGACAGACGACCAAGGTGGCGTGAGACTTGCGGGGCAAATTCTTAGCCTTTCTTGAGCCCGATTGGAGGGGACTGCTTTTCCAACTAGACGTGGGTTCCTGCTCGGGTTTAATCTTGGGTTTCTCGTCTGATTCATACCCTTCGTCGTCATCACTCTCAGGTTTCACCAAAGGATGATGAGGCGGCCGAGCAGTGCAAATCAGGGCTGCCATTTGAATCGTTTTGCCTAGCCCCATTTCGTCGGCGAGAATACCACCTTGACATTTACGGGAAGCCCTCGGAAACTCAAAGCTGAATTCACCCATGTATGGGTTGTAATCTTCACGAGAAGTGCATAATATTACCAGAAGAATTCAGTTGCTTGAAGCTCTTCCATTTTATGACATCCCCATATTATCTTTAGCTATCAAGAATAGTCAAATTGCGGACTTACAAAACTGTTCATCAGAAGCAACAGCCCAGTTTGCTTGGTCTTCATCATGAGGAAATATGTACCTGGAAAAATGCAGTTTGCCACGGGTGAGGGGTCATCTAGCAGGGAGAGGATCAGGCTCGAGCGACTCACTCTTCCCATAGAGGATGAATCGAAACCTCTTCTCTAGCTTGCTCGAGAGTCGCTTCCATTTTCATTAACCAGCTCAAGCCCTGTTGCTGATACGGGCGTAAGGGAAGCTGAAACCCATCACAGGGGGAGCGCATATCCAGAGACATATCGTGTGCGGTCGCTTTCTGATAAACCAAATCAATGTTTTGCTGGTCAATCACACCTTCTGTATCGGGTTCTCCTTTGAAAGAAGCTGCCGGTTTGGAGCTCCCGGCGATCGACCGATGACCGGATTTCGTACTAGCAGTGCTTGAAATTGATGCCATGAGATTGATAGTACTAAACAGGGTGTTGACTGATTGCTGTCTGTCAACCCTTTCTTTGTCTTCTTTCGCTTCAGCTGAGTTGAAGAAATTGGCCAATTTGGACTTTTGAAGATTGGTTAGAGAATCAAACTTTTCATCGGTTGGCGAAACAAAAGCTGATCGCAGGAGATAGGCCTTTAAATAACAGTGGACCGTTGCACCTGCAAGAAATTCAAAAAATAAAATACTGAGCGCTTTCAGTTGGGGTCGCTACAACAGCAAAACCAAGAAAGGTATTTGATATTTTCAGAAAGTGATCTATGAACCAGAAAAAAATGCTACGCACCAATGGTGGACTTCGATGGAGGAAACATCAGTTTGCCTTCAAAGGTGATCAGACGTTGGTCGATTAACTTGACCATCCATTTTGCGAAATTCTCGTTTAATCGGGCAAATGCGCCATTCTTCTTGCTCTCTAGTCTAAGATGATACGTGATACAAATCAGTTCAAGTCATTGACTACTGATGATTTCAGCGTTCATTTGCAAGCCGGGAGATTAACCTAACAACATGATCTTCCTTTTTCGCCGAGGCAGACTTGGATTTTTGGACTTCATTTGTCGAGGTTCTTGACAGCCAAACCGATTCACCCTCACGCAATTTCGCCGACGAATAAATCAAATATCCTTCACACATGAATGCTATGAGGGCAAAAGAACATGAAGTTTGATTTTCAGTCAATGTTTTGAAAACATGTGGCTTAAGATGGAAAAGCGCAAGTCGTGATATTTCGTCAGAACTCACCACCTATGTACTTTTTTTCCCAGGACGGCAGTGCACCTTTAGACTGGCGAGTGGGCGGGGGACAAGAAGGATCACGGTTTTCAGGTTTTATTTTCTTGTCAACGGGGGAGTCTGGAGAGCCTGTAAGGTCGATATAATTTGAGCTGTTGAATTTGGGTTTGTGGTCAGGCTTTAGATCAGCTCTTGAAGTCAGCTGTGGTTTACGATCTTCATCCGTAGAAGCTTCAAATGAGGCCACTTCGGTGCGTGATTTAAAGCTAGGCTGAGAGTCGGGGTTGGGTTTAACATCATTATCATGGGCAGCTGAACCTGAAGGCGTTTCTACAATTAATGAAATGTCAGGCTTGCGGTCGAGGCTAGCCGGCGGAGGAGCACCATTTTCATCAGGGTTAGGCTTGTGGCCGATATTTTCCGGCTGAGGAATACCATCTTCATGAGGGTTGGCCTTGCGGTCGACATTTGCCGGCTGAGGATAACCATCTTCCTCAAGGTCAGGCTTGGGCTCAAGTTTTTCCGGCTGAGGAGTACCGCCTTTGTCGGATAGAATGACAGACGATGGCTTGTCCACGCGTAAATCTTCCTTTTCATCAGCCGTGTTACGGGTCGAAAGATCATTAGAATCACAGGGAGCTAGGTTTTCAACTTCTTCAGTTACGGTTTCTTTCTTGGTCAGGGTGCTTAAAGAACTGGGTGAGTCAGTGAGTTTGCTTTTCTTGTTCAGTCGGGGTGAGAGCGGTGATATTGCGGTATGCTTGCTTGATGATCGGGGAGTCTCATCTTTGCGACGCTTTGGCGTTTGGTGGTCAGACGTGGTAGGTTGATTGTTTTCCGCCAAAATCGTCCTATGACCAGACTTAGGGGTGGAAGAGCCGTCCTGCTCAGGGCTAGGAGTTTGGAAGAATCGAGGCCGCTTGCTGGGTGTTACCACTCCGGCTAGAGTAGGATTATTCGTGATACTTTCTGAAGATGCCCCATTGGACGTGATCTGGTCAATCGTGGCCTCTTCTTTATTGGAGGTTTCTGCAGGCGCGCCTTCTGTTTTAGCTAAAGCGGCGTCGAAGAAGGTTTCGTCTGGGGATAATCGATCGAGTGCCTCCAAAGATTCAGCCATTGGTAAGGGATCAGTCTGCGATTGATAATGGAACGAATCGTCAGTATACTTGGAATGGACGATAGAAAAAGACAAAATCAGCAGGAGAAAGAATTCACAGACCTTTGGTTTGGGCGTGGTGACTCCGATTTGTTTTTTTTGGAAATCTCGGTCAACAAAATAGCTTGCCACTGCGCGACGCGCGTCGAATGGTGATTCTCTGGACGAGACGGTCGACCGCTGGACGCCCATTTGGCACACAGCACACTGGTTCTTCTGTCTCAGCAAGACAGTATGATCCCATAATCCACCAACAATAGTAAGTACCCCCCTGCTTTTGAAATTTACGTTCTGAGGAAAGGGACAGACGAACAACTTGTAGAAATTTTTGATGAAGCTGAGCTGTTGCCAACTTGACCACAAAATAGGATTTTGTAAGAAAACCCACAACAAGGTCCTTTGTCAAGTTATATAGATAGGGGGTTGGAGAAACGACTTCCAAACCTTGGGAGAACAACTCCAGTTGTTTTTCCAAACCCCCCTTTGGGATTGGAAGTTCATATCCCAATTTAATTTTAAATTTTAAATTTCTAATGTTTTGAGGGGGGTTGATAACCGCACGCCAACCCCCATGGCGCACGCCAATCCGCACGCCAGGCGCAGATTGGCGTGCGGGCCTGCACGCCAATCTGCTGCAGGGGAGTTGGCCTGCAGTTGGCGTGCAGGCCTGCACGCCCAACATTAGGTCCTAAACGCATATTTATATGCGTTTAGGACCTGGGCCGTCCCATAGGACCCAGGCATGGGTCCTACAATGGGACGGCCCCATTTTTCCTTTTTTTTTTTTTTTTTTTTTTTTTTTTTTTTTTTTTCTTTCTTTTTTTTCCCCCTCGGCCTAGAGAGGCCGAGGTCACACCGCCGGGAGGAACCCCTCCCGGCGAGTGGTGTGGTTTCACTTACCGCTGGACGAGGTACATGTACCTCGTCCATC